AGATGGCCATAGATGCCTTTTTCTCATCAGAGCTGCACAGAAGAAATCATTATCTATCATATGGGTTTATGAAGCTTAACATATATTTTATAGGACTTGCCAATGAGAAAGATAGGTTTAAGATGTTTATTTTCAAGTGATGCTGAATTGGATTCTCTATAATGTAAGATGAAAGAGAAAAATTTATATTCAAGTGATGCTTTAAGAAGTTTACGAACAACGATTTCATTGCAACTTTGTTTCATAATTATTACTCTATTTTATATTTTGTTGAAGGTGTAGTGACAAACAAGGTCTAAAAGTTATTTTCATTTTCTGGTAGACAAGAATAATTTATACCCATCAAGGACATCGGGGGCTAGCATTCCAAAACGATCAAGAAACTCTTCAAATGTTCTTTTTGTTGGGTATCCAGCACAACTAATCCTTATTGCCTCAAGTACTCCCTGAAAGATTTGAGATGTGAATGTTATGGGGGGAGACTTTCTCAAATTCACTGGATAGTCACATTTTAGAGTCAATATGAAAAATTAAACTTACACCACATCTTAATTGGTTCAAGACATTGAAGTTCTCAAAGATCCCAGGCTGCAAAACTGTATTTGGTTTCACACATCGTATGTAATGTGGTTCTGTTGTATTCAGTGTCTCCATGAGAGATTGCAGTTGTTGCTGCATATTAAGATTTGATTCAGAAGCAATTCATGGATTGAGCGTTTCTAGAATAGGCAGAAGTAGTAAATTTTGAAATTGAACTTTTTACCTTAAACTGTGAACCAATGGAAGAGAATTTTGATTGCTTTGACGTCTCCTCAGGTAAAGGAGGGAACAGATTAGCAACAAATGGGCACTTGGAAGCACATAAAAGAGCTTGATGCTCTGCTACAACATAATCTTTGTTTTTATCAAGAAAATAATCTGCTTGATATGTGACCTGTGCATCAGAAGGTTTTGTGACTTAACAGTTCTAATTCGTGGTTGATGGCCAAGAAAAAAAAATATAACTTTCTCACTTACATCTCCAGCATAATGGTTAATTGTGAAATCTGTTCGAGCAAGTTTTGGCTTGCTGAAGCGCTTGTGGGCTTTGTATGTCTGGTACATCTTTTGTGCAAAAGTCTCATGAGTTGATTTTGGGAACATGCTGCAGAAAAAAAAGAATAAAAATAAAATTTAACCTGTTTTTATAATTTTTGCTTTTTATTTAGCAAGGAAATAAATTCCATCTGAGCTAGTTATTCCACCCTATTCTCCTAAAATTAATTCTTTTGCAGGCACATAATAAGAAAAAATGTTCATCTGCTTTTGTCATTTTAATATATTTAGTTTTTTGTGTAAAATGACATACCAGGCTTCATCTAGAAGAGCGATTATTCCTCCTGGTTTCTGCACGAAATACATACAAATAGTTTCACAAGTTTATCTGATAGAAAAAATATTTTCACAAGCAATGATGATGAAGAATACCTTCTCAATAAGATCAAGAACATCCTGATTATCCACAAATTCTACATAGCTCCAATTGATTTCCTCCTTTGTGTACTCTTCTTGCTCCATCTTGAATACATGCTGTTGAAACAGGTGCATTCTTATATTATATATTTGCAGCATACAGTGATTCTCAAGTTGTATTTAAAAGTTATTATCAAACCTGATTAAAATGTTGTTGCAACTTCTCATTTGTTAAGTTGATGCATAGTTGCTCAAAACTGTAGATGGAGAGCCAATGATATTACAAGATGGAGATATAGAAACTGTAGTTCTTCTGCTTGTAATAATTATTCTATTTACCTGTTGATTTTGAAGCTTTCAAATCCATAAATATCAAGGACTCCTATTATGCTCACTGCATTGGAATCTTGACCAATTGAACTGTTAATCTTGTCCACAATCCTGCCAGTTTTGAAGGATGCATTTAGAATTTGTCATTCCTTGTCTCAAAACTGAAAGATGTTCATAGAATATGCTATTCAAGCAAAGCACATTAGTTAAGAGAAGATTAAGTTACGTATAATATGGTTTTTAGGACTAGTATGTTTCCTTGACATCACAGTTTTTGGATTTTCAATTTTCTCTACTGAACAAGGTTAGTTACATGTTGGAGTAATTAGTTAGTTTCTTTTTACCAATCAAACAATTTGGAGTACACAGTCTTTGCCAAGGCATCTCGGCTCAAAGCAGCTGCATCAGGGTCTAGAGGTTTCGTGATGTTACCATCAGGAGTTACAATGACACGCTTGCAAAGTGAGTCTTCTAGTGCTTTCGCATCACAACTGAAAATAAATATGTTTAAGAGACAGAAAGTTGAAGCATATGAATTGTAGAGTTTTGATGAGCAGATCAAAGCTTGTACATGAATAACTCTGCAGCTGTTTGGAGGTGGAAGAGTGATTTATCATCTTTCAATTTGGAAGAATCAACATCTTTCCCTTTCACAAAGTCAATGTTTCCAAGATGGAGGATTGCAGCTACCACACGGAATATGGCATCCTGTGAAGGGAAATTTTATTTGATCAAATGTTTGGATATACTTAAATTCATTTGAATGTGGTGCACTTTTGCACTTGTTCAATACCTGCTCTTCTTGGCTAATGCCTACAATATCCATTGCATTTCTGGTCTCCAAGTATTCTTTTGCATCATCTACATTTGACACTTCATAACAGTTTGATTGATTGAGATAGTGGAATTGCCTTGGATCCCCTAACTTATACTTGTTGGCATCCTATTTAAAAACTTTTAACAATTAGATTTTTTGAGGTAATGGTATGTTACTGAATTATTATCAGGATAATTATAGAAAGGTCACCTCTGGTGGTGCTGCACAAAGCATGTAAAAGCAATGATAGTTTCTCTCTGGGTCAGAGACCTGGCAAACTCGTGACCTTTCGAGGAGATATGTTCGGATTGCAGCTCCGGAAATCTTCCCATTCTTGTCGAATTGAATTTCAACAAATTTGCCAAATCGACTGTCACAAACTCCAATAATTTTGTGAGATAAACTAAAATGGGAACAGAAAAGGAGACCTGAGCAAATATATCTTTACAATCTACCTTGAATTGTTGTTTTTGACAGTTTTGGCATTTCCAAATGCTTCCAACACTGGATTGGACTGAAGAAGTGATAATGTCACTACATATACCTTATCTGGGTTCTAATAAACGATTTAAAAGCAGTTCAAACTCACCTCCAAAACCTGTTGTTCTACAGTTCTTCCTTCTGAAGCAGATCTACCCCCCATGAATGCTAGATATCTCATGAGCATTTTCGTTGTCTCAGTTTTACCAGCTCCACTCTCTCCACTTACCAAAATGGATTGACTTCCATTTTCATTTATCATTGCCCTGATACATTTAACTGAGTCAACTCTATAATTGATTGTTTTGAGTTTACTTGTGCCAAATATATTTCTACATTCATGTCAATATACCTGTAACATGTGTCAGCTACAGCAAAAAGGTGAGGACTGAGCTCTCCAAATGCTGCTCCTTTGTACTGCTGCATCATATGGATGTCGTACAAGTGTGGCAGTCTTCGAAAAGGATTCACAGCAATTAAGATATTTCCTGTATATGTCTGTTTATTTCATTTATTTCTGTGAGACTTTACTCTCTTTTCCTTTATATAATTTTTCTATCAAATATATTAAGAACGACAATTGACAAGTTGATTAATTGGTGACTCACATATATCTCATTGAGAGAAAAACGAGTTGCAAGGTTATGCAGGACTCCTGGCTCATGAAGGTAAGCTAGCTTGGTCATGTCATCAACCCCTGCAGGTGGTGCTTCTGTATCTTTGGGGTATATGCTTGAAATTTCTGCCACCATCTGAAATTGAGGGCAATGCAAATGTTTAGTTTTATATACTCCTTTATGATTGTACTTCAAGTATCAAAATTATGAGTACAGTGATATGTTCTGGGAGGGGGATTGACTTTGGGCCATCATTCTGGCTGGATAAGGCTGAGGTGGATCAGAAAACAATCAAAGTATGGTTCTTGAGCTAGTTGAAAGAAGAAATACTTGACTTTTCAGTGTAGCTTTTGGTCTAATGATAAGCTCCTGATTTGATATAAACTATAAGTTTCTCATTTGAGTAACTATCTAATTCTTCGTTATCCTGTATTTGGAAATCTTATTTAAAAAATATATGATAGGAAAACAACATTTGTTTTTCTGAAGAAGAATGTGTTGTGACTTTGACGTGATCAGGCTGAAAATTGCGGCTGCAGCTTTTCTGCTGAAATTTCACCTTGGTTTTGTTTTGTTATTTTTTTCTACCTATCTTGTCTCTGCTACCAGGATAAGAACAAATACTGATCACACTTCAGCTTTATTATCACATAACATAATATTATAATTCTAACTTCACGCAATACTATAGTAAGGAAAATCCAGTTTCAGAACAAAGAATAAAATCTACTGTTGATGGATCATCCTATACAAGTTATTCCATTTCCATCATCCGGATCCAAATTAGCCATACAATTCTAGTAAAAAAGCACATATCTGCACCTATTTCTTAAACGCCTGTTATATCAACATCTATGATATGTAGCAATTCTAATTAAGTTTCCAAGTGTTTCACCAGTAAATGAAAACACATAGAATATTCCATTTTACGATCAAGTAAAAGGCTTACATTTTTCCCATTTGTGGTAATGACGGTGGCAGTTTTGCCATTGATTTGTGTGACCTCACCATCAATCCATGCATCATCAGGATCCTCAACCCAAACCTGTGATCCAACGATGATGTTCACAGGTGTTCCCTGAACCAATCACAGCAAGGCATGAAAAGTGTTAAAACACATGATCTGACACCAGAAACATTGAGAGATGATCAACAACACAAAGAACTAATTTTCTTCTTCAGATTCTCACCATGATATGCTAGACTCTTCTGATCATGAAAATCAGAATTGTTGCTTGTGGAACAAGACCAAGATAAATGAATGCTTGTGAGCGAGTTGGTGGTGGTGTTGTATCTCTCAAAGAATGCTGGTGTGTGTTGCAGAGTTTTCAGAAAGCAGAAAGAATGTCCAAAAGGAAAACCAAGGCATAGGAAATGCCAGGGTGGTTAACAACTCTTTAAAGCTAAAGGGGCAGCAAGCACCCGTTCACCTCACCTTACCACCTTTTCTTCCCTCTCAGTCCCATGTACTTTTTTTTTTGCTCCTTCCACGACAGATGCTGACTTGGCACCAACAGAAGCCCCAGAAAAATATGTGTCACAGAAACTAATTATTCAAATATACAATTCATGTGTCTGCTGCCTGCAACATGATCACACAAGTGGGGCCATGTTGCTTAAGCCATACGGAGAATGAGCCACCGTCCTCCAACTGATAATTTTGAATAATTTGTTTTCTGGTGAATCATAATAATTTTGGTTTATAATAGTTTTGTTATGGACTGGTCAGGTGAGTATTATTTGGTATTATGGTGAGTAGTACTAGTAGCATACACAGCTGGTGTTACTTGTCATGCTTCACTGTCATAGTAATTAATTACCATCTTCTAGTCACCTTTCACTCATGGTAATCATGCAAGATCAATATATTCAACTTCAGTTAAAAAGAAAGGCACAAAGTAACTAACCATGATTTCATTTCTTATGGAGAGGGACTCCAACATTTAGTATCTAGCAGTTCTTTGAGTGCAATTACATTATATGGAATATGCTTTAGAAAATAAAAGAGAAAGAAAATATTTTATGCATCCATCATATAAATAGTCTTTACACAATCAACTAAATATAAATTGACATAATAAATGTATTGATTTTTTTTTCTAATAACTACTTTAAAAGTTACACTAACTACTATTTTAATTAGTTGATAACGTAAATCTTTTGAGACCCATAATAATGCATAAAAATTAAATTAAAAAGGTTGGGTGAAGATTCCCAATTGAACAAGCTAGAAATTACATATTAGAGGCAGAGATGACAAGTTGGAAGAATGGAGTGTTGGTACATTGTTTGGGCAAAAGGAGACGATGTGTATATCAAATTTTATTTGAAGCATACGTTATTCCACTGTGTCAAAAGTCAAATGTCAATTGAGTTGAAGGAAGGCTCTCATATTAAAGATGCCGAAAAGAAAGGAAAAGAAGATAGTGAAAGTTGATCCACAGAAGGGGTTCCACCTGGCATAGTAAAAGCCAATAGGGACCCAAAGTTTCCAACTTTATGCATGTCTCCACCATCCAAAAATAACTTTTTGTCACCCCTTCTGCTTTCAGCCTTTGAAGTGTAACTACTAACAAAAATACTCCCATCTATGATTCTGTGTATCAAGAATCATGAAATCCAAGGGAAGTTAGAGATTTTTTTTCATTTTTTTTCTTCTTCTCTTTAATATTTTTCCCTTGTGGGACGGCTAAGGGAGGTGCCATATTTTCGGCCTATGGTCATTCACATGAGAAAAGGGTCATGTCATGTGGTGTGATGGTGGGACCATGGAGCATAGGAAGCATAGGAAAAAGGGTTACACAGGCGTGGCTTTCCAACCAAGCTTTGTTCATCATTCTTTTTCTTTTGGCACTTATTTAAAGAAATTTTGCTGATGTGGGCATCATTAATCATCATTACTCTCTCTTATCAAGGGTTCTAATTTGGGTATTTTTGTCAAATGCTCATATCATGGGGTGGCCTCTATGGCCCTCATGCAAATTTAGATCTTGCTCTACCAAATAGTGTTGTGTATAGGGAGATGCTTCTCTTGTCGGTCATTGGTCCAAAGTAGTTTTGTTGAAACGCAACTTTTGGAAGTGCTTTTGACCCAAATTTTCTCAATGTGGAATAAAACCCTTTCTTAGTTCAACAAAGGGAAAGGGAGTGTAGAGAATTTGAAGATGGAAAGTAATGGTCGATGCAAATGTTTGTGATGGATGGAGTTTTCATAAGCCCAATTATTTCAAGCTTTTCTTCATCGCCTATTCAATCCTATGGTTAACAAACACTCCTTTCCCTCACACCCCCAATAAAAGAATTATCTTTTATGAGTATTTATCATATGTAGTTATAATATCACTGAAAATAATCTTCCAATTTAATCTCCATATCAATTCTTTGACATGAAGGGGTGGTTTTTTCCTTTCTTTCTTTTTTTTCAGAAGAAATTTACGTGAGGGAGGGAGAAGGAAACGAGAGTAGTGGTTTTAGTGGGATAGTTTGAGAAAAAGAAGAAAGGGGAGTCCAGAGTATAAAGGGTGAGTGTAAATAGTAATAGCCCACAAATAATATAAAGTAAGCCCAATCTGCTACGTATTTGAAGGCTCTTAGATACACATTAGGAATTTCAACCTGCACCCCCCTAAATATATGAAAAAACCGAATTGCCTTTAAGCATTTTTTTTTTTTAAATTTAGTTGCACCAGCACAAAAAATTCATCCTTCTGAAAAAATTATTCCGAAAGAATTCAACACTCTTAATTCTGAAACCCTCCGTAATGAGATTTATCATTACTTTAAAAAAATGAACATCTTTATGAAAATACCCTTTTAAAATGATTCCGTAATAAAAATCTCATTAGAGGATGTTTCGAAATGCTTTTCCAAAAAGGGTGTGCAATTTTTTTAATGATCTTTCTTGAGGAGTCTTAGATTCATTTCAAAATGGTCTTTTTGGAAGGGTCATGTTCAATTTTTTTTTCTCAGGGTAGTTTTTCTGGAAAAGTGTTAAGTTCATTCTAAAATGCTGCTTTCCGAAAGGAATAAAAAAAATGCTTAAGCAGGTGCAAGATGAGATTCCTATAGTGTAAGAAGAAAGAGCCCATTTTTGAATCTTTCTTACATCTTTCGGCCATTTTGGGCCCAAAAGAAAAGTACAGAACTTTAAAATCGTTTATAAAAGTCTCATTCATATCTTCGAAGAACATGAACTGGTTTCGGATTGCAAGAATTAGGGTTAACGTTGACTACAAGTAATATTGGGGTAACATTATTAGTCAAAGAAGAAGTGGTTTCTGACTTTGCAAGTTGCAACTCACCAAACCCTATTTTCTTTTCAACTACGTACCATCCAAGACAGCTATGAATACAGATTTTGTGTTCGTGAGAAGTTAGAAATTCTTGTTTACAGTGTAAAACAAAACGTTATAACTTATTTAAAATTTTCGAAATAAGATCTAAATAAAACACATTATAACTTATTTTAAGAAAACTTACTCAGCCACATGAGTAAACACCTGCAACATCAATGTTTCATATTTTCGGGGCTAAAATTGGTAATGAGCGATCAGATTTTGTGTTGACAAGCGTAGTCAACAAGAACTAAACATCATGTCACTGACAAATCGATTTTTACGACATGCGTTGCATTATTAATTTGTTACTATCTTGTTGATTTAGGTTTTTGTCGTTTTGGAAAGGTTGTTTTCGTTTAACTCATCATCCGCTACGGTTGATTCCGATGGGGATGGTTCGCATCATCTTTTTCTTCCTTTCTCTCATTTTCATTCATGGAACCAAACTTTTCTTTTTCAACGAAGATACCAACAGTTAGGGCTCTCAAATATTAAAATACATTCAATATGTGAGATTATTTCTCATATTGTTCGTTATTGTCTCCCATTAGAATTTGAAGTCAAGGTCATAAATAGAAACAATTATAGAGGCATTTCAATGTGAATATACTACAAAAATAGAATAATAATTAGATATAACGATATTCACCCAAGTGATACATCAAACTAATTTTGATATAAATGTGAAGATTGAAAAAGAAGAATGGATTCACGTGTATGCCGTGAAAAGTCAAACTTATTAATAAGAGTAGTGTGCGAGCATAAGAAAATTTTCAATCTTTTCACATCCTTACATAATTACATGAAGAAACAATTAACTACGTATGATGAAGAAAAGTTGGAATTTGCTCAGAAACCAAACAAGGCAGCGCCGTTAAGGCCGTTATTTGACCAAAAACCGGGTGTTGTGTTGGTATACAGCCTTAGCACGGCTGCGCATGACCCACAATCTAGGTTTCCGGAAGCTGGAATTTCGCTACCAAAATTAGGCACCTCTCAATCTCTCTTCAATTGCCATTTTAATTAAACTTTATTTAATTTGTAGATTTAAGAATTCATAATTTGAATGAAATCATTCATACTCTAAAATGTATAGCATTATATTGTATGGAGGAAAGATACGTTTAATTCAAGAATATAAATTAGAGATTTATTTTTTATTTTTACCACTTAATTTCTATAATTTAATAATATAAAATAATTATTATTTTAATTATTAGATTACAAAAATAAATAATAAAACTTAATGGGATGGCTTTATAAAACAAAATACTTCTAATATAGTTGCCTTAAATAATAAAATAAAATTGAAGCTGCAAATTAAAACATTTATAATATATAATGACATTTAAATTCAACAAAATAATAGAATTCTCATCTTATTATAAAGTGTCAATGTATGGAAAGATATTTTTTTCTAAATTGAAACTACAAACTCAATGATCAAAACATTCATTAACTGTTTCTTCATAATATCATTCTTCTTCATCAAATTCTCAAAGTCTGTAGTCAACCACTTTACTGCAAATTTGCAGAATTGATGCTACAATTACATGATTCCTTTGCAAACTCACGGGTTGTAGAATTTAACTAAACCCTAAACCTAAACCAAAATTATGTATTTCTTTTCTTCTTCACCGAATCTTTGAGTCCAAGATCACACATGTTCACTACTATTTCAGCTGTCACCAACACAGTAAACATGTGAAAATCATCATCAATTTGATAGCTTCATGCCCATCCCATCCCATCTTATCCCACTTTTCATCCATGTATAAAATACCCATTTTCATGTACCACAAAATCATTTTTCTTTGTTTCTAATGTGTTTGCCTCTATTATTAGACAACTACCAATTATTTCAAGGGGAATCTTTTCAATTATAATCCATGTTGTTGTTTTCCCCCTTCTTCTTCTCTTTCTCTAAAGTCAAGCTCATTCAATTAAATTAGGGGTTCCCAACAGTCTAAATATTTATAGAGTAAGATATTAAATTGTAACTAATTATTTTTACCAACGGTTTCTTTATCTCCCATTATTTATTCAAATATATCTCAATCCTTATGTCACATCAGGGATGGCAATTAAACCCGTACCCGTGGGAACCGACCCGTCCCCGCCCCGAGTTTAATAGGGAAACCCCGAGTTGACCGGGGGCGGGGTCGGGTTCGGGTTTTCCCCGCTTTAAAAAGTCGGGGGCGGGGGCGGGGATGGGTAATGCAATCCCCACCCCGACCCCGCCCCCATCCCCGCCCCGACTTTATATTTAAATTTTAAAATATTAATATTTTAAAAGTATTTCATTTTCTTTTTCTATTACATATAAGGTTATTTTTTTATATTTCACCAATTTTTATTTTTCTTCTACCCACTTTTTAATTTTTTTTATCTTTCTCAATCTTTTATATCAATTAATTTATTATATTATTCTCTCCCTTATCTTTCAGCTTTTTCACATTTTCTTAGTCTCTCCCATCAATTTGTTTTTTTTTCAATCTTTTCAATCAATTTGATGAACATAAAGTTAATATTTTTTCTTTATCTTTTTCTAAATATTTTACATCAATCTTAGTAGTAACTAATATTAGTTTATTTATAATTTATATTTATTATGCCATATTTTTTTATCTTATTATGCTTATTTATCATATATCAAATTTTATCTTAATAAAATAATTGCATTTTAAAGGATTAAAAGAAATTAATAATTTAAACTTTTATTACTTCAAACTAATTAAATAAGAATTAACTTATTAAATATTTTCTTATAAACTATATATTGACAACTTAAAAATGAATTAACTTATATGTATAATTAAATATTTGAATACAATATTATAATAATAATGTTATAAATATTATATATATATATATAAATAAAAATAATTAAATATTTCTTTTACATATATATTTTAATATAAATATAATAAATTAAAATGTATATTTAATTAATAATAACTATAAATTATAAATATTTATTTATATATAAAAATACATAGTAAAATTAATTTATTATAAATATAATTATCTTTTTAAAAATAATATAAATTGGGGACGGGCGAGGCGGGAACCCGAACCCAGCGTGACGGGATGGGACTAATTCCTAACCCCATGAGGATGACGGGACGGAGATGGTTAAAAGTCGGGCGGGACGGGAGGCAAAACCCGCCCCGCCCCACCCGCTGCCATGCCTATGTCACATCCACCTTAATATCTACTTCCACTAGCTCTGGTTGATGTTAGGGAATTGTGTTTGGCAAACATCTACAAACACTATGAAAAAATATTTTCAATTCTTAAACCAAAGTGAATTACATTTTTTTCACCATCAATTCTCATAGTGTGATTGGTTTTGTCCATAGGATCATAAATAAAAATCTGGACACCACATTAATTGGCAATGGGTAGGGTATGTAAAAGTTTGTGCCCTTATAACACATTCCAATTCATAATATTTATTATATTATAAAAATATTCTTTATATTGAATATATTATAATAAGAATATACAAAAATATATTTAATTATTTGATTATACATAAAAATAATTAATCTTAAATCTATTTATTCGATTATATATTATATTAAAAAATAATAATTAGATAAACAGTGCTATATATATATATATATATATGAATCCATACTATTCTTCTACTCTCAACCAATGCACCAATTTATGGAGAGTGCAGTGAGGCTCTGAGACATGTACAAGAATCAAACGAAAAAAATATAAAAGATTCTTTGTCTGCATGCATTAGCGTCATGACAACATGCACTAAATGTATATGTCGGTTATATATATATATATATATATATATATATATATATATATATATATATATATATATATATATATATATATATATATATATATATATGACAGAAAATTAGAGTTACATATGCTAGTGGACCTATATATCCATATATATGAGGCTGGATTAATTAAATTATACAATCCAAGAAGATATTATAAGTTTTTTTATATTTTATCTCATATTATATGATTCTGATTCTGAAGATGCTCAATGAGTTAAATTAGTTTTGGAACTTATACCATTTTTATTTAGTTAAAAAAAATTCATGACCCTACTAAATGCAAATTTTAGAAAAAGAAATTTGTAATAAATTATGGTTTAATTACGTTGTTGGTGTTTCGATTTTGATTTTCATAAAAAATAAATTATTTTTGTTTATATGACATTTGTTTATGTATAATAAATTATATAAGTGGCGTGATATATATATATATATATATATATATATATATATATATATATATATATATATATATAAAACGTGAGTATGAATACGTGATATATATTTTTAAAATATTAAAATTTATAAAATAAATTTTATTTATTTATCTAAAAATAAATTGAACTGAAAGTAATGATTCAGAAGGTTAGAGAATACAAATAAAAGAAAATATTTTATATAAATGAAAGTAAAAATTCACAAAGTTCAACAAAATGAAAATATGAAAATTCACTTATTTGAAATAGAAAATATTTAATTAACCATATAATTTTTAGTGGAGGGTAACCAGGGTAGAGTCCAACGAAATACTTGTCCATTCTCTTTTTTATGATAATTTTCTATTTCCATGATTTTTTTTTCTCTCTCTGCTATAGTTTTGTCCTTTATGAATTATGAATGAAATGTTGGGAGAGATGCATGAATGAATAATTGCAAGAGAGAAGTGTAACGTAATAATCATAGACTAACATAGTGTACAAATATCACTCAACAGTGATATTATGTACTATTTGTAATAAACCATTTAGAATATTTATTGTGATCAGTTTTATTATAATGGAACCTTGAAAGAGAATGAAAGTATCTTAATTTGAGTGAATCACTATGGTTAAGTGTTTTGGTATTACTCTTCTGTTTATATGCTTATATTTGAATAAGTTGCAATATGATATGATAACATTTCACCATTTCTCATGGGAACTAGGAGCTGGATCAGTCATCTGAAAATAAACCATGAACTGAAGTTTAATCTTGATGAGGAAGTTCATATTTGACCTAATTGTTAAGTCGGAAAGATAGAAGATGTTAAGAGAGATTTAACAGATGACGATAAACATGATGGGAAATGATGAAAGTGTGATTAAATAGGGTTAACACATAATAAGGCAAATAGTAGGAATCTTGTTGCATGCATGTACGCAACAAAAAAGAAATAGGAATCTTGCATGTGAATGATAGTTACAATTGGTGAGACGTGACTGGATTTGGCTCCTTTTTAGTTATGATCATGTGTAATTTTTCACGGGATATAAACACAATCCATGGAAAGTGTAGTACCTTGTCATCATTCTCTAAAATAATCCATCCATCACCGTTCTTCACTCACTTTCTTAGTTCATCATTTATTTATACTTAAAAACAAAAAACGAGTGAAAATACGTAAGTTTATAAAAGGTTAATACGTAAAAATTTCGAATATGTACCTAAAAAACAATGAGAAATTTCGTAACGAAATGTTATTTGGATGCAAGTTACATTTATGAGAATATATAAAACAAAAGGTTATACTTATTAAATTAGAAAAAAAATAAGTATATGACTTGGTTGTGAATGAAAAATCATTAGAATTTATCATTAATTCGTGACCTACTTAAAGTGTTTTTGTGGTTAATTTTGAAATATTTTTCCATCTAGAAAGTTTTAATTCTTGGATAGTTATTGAATAGTGTTGGATACAATTGTGTAAGATAATTTTATAACTTGCATGTTAAAAATGTTTATTTTAATCCATTCAAAATATTATAAAGAAATTTTTACTTGCGTGAAGTTATTTCAATTTAATCAGTGTTTTTTTAATTTATTTTTTAAAAATGGTTAACTGATATATTCTTTATTTTATTATTTTAACAATATACTTCGTGAGATTTTAATTGTTAAATATACTAATTAACAAATTGAATGGTTATTGTTTACTTAAGTAAATGTTTTTTTTTTATTTTAAATTTGGTTCAAATTATTTTAACATATAATATGATGTTAATAGTAAGTTGTAATGTATAAAAAAAAGTATAATAAATGAAACTCAAAAATATAGTTAAATTAATTGAAATTATATGTAAAAATTACAGCAATTTAAAATTAATCAAAAATAAAAAAAATGATAATTATCTCAAAATATGTTTTATCCATAAGATAAAATATAATTATGAAAAAACATTTTCAAATTTCAGTTATAGCTTTGAGCCAATTCTTGTAAATATAATCTATAGACGAAATTAGTGATAGATTTATCAATTTGTATATATAAGAGTAGATAAATAAAACTCAAAATAAAAAAAATCTTGAATATATACATTTATAGGGGAAAAATTGACATAAAAATATTTTTTATTTATCGATAATTCTTTAAAACGTTATTAAAATTCAATTTGAAAATACAGGCAAAAGAAAATGATTGAAATCATGTAGGTATACTATAATATATAAAGATAGATTTGTAGAGTAGTTTCATATAATACTCAGACTATATTTTTGATGTTTTGCAACATAGTGTTTGTTATTTAAACTACTACTGATCCCTTTATTTGAAAAAAAGAATTATATATGAAAAGCTCGGTATGAATATCTAATTTTGTACAATATATTTAATGAATACAATTTTAAATTATATATATATATATATATTATCTTTTAATATTTTGTGATTTATTTTCAAATTTATTTAAATTATGTTGTAATTTATATCTTCTTATTTATTTTTTATTTTGTCTAAAATCATATTATGATTTTGTTTACCAATTATAATTTCTTATTTTTAATGTTTTACTATTTATATATTATTATATTTCAATTTCAGTATTTTTTAAATATTGTTTAAACTCAATTACAATATATAGTAAAGGAGACCATCTATTTCTTCCTGAATACTACTTCTGTCAATTTTCTTTTTAACCGTGACAACTCACAATACAACATTAACGTAACAAAATTATTTATGTACAATGTGCAATGACATGCATGTATCTTTTTATACTCTAAACCTATTAAATATAATATTTTCTTTGTCTCATAGTTTTGATTAGGTAATGTGTTATCTTCTATAAACATTTCCTTCAACAATTCCAATAATTTGATGAAATTTTTATCAGTTCATCCATTACTTGTTTTTAAATTGAACAATCTTAAAGTTGTTGATAATATTACAAAACTGCATTCTTCATACACGTGTTTTTTTTTTTTAATTTCTTCACCAATATAACATATCATCCCCTCTAAATTATCATTCATCCCTTCTTCAAAAAAATTGTGTTATTTGTATAACTCTTAACAGTAATGTTCTTGCAGGGTCAAGCACTAACCTTCCCTTTAAGTTATCTTCTTTTTTGGTATTGAGTCTTCTTGGAGTTTCGATATGAATATCCTAGGAGGTAGGTTCTCGGATCCGGGCAACTATTGGTGAGGTACCTGCAAAGATACTCTGCCACTCAAGTTAGTGACAAAAAAAATAATTTGCAGGAGTTTTAAGGATAGAATAACATTACTTTTTTCATAAAGCTTACTAGTATTTATGAAAGCATGACTGGGTGGTATGGCTCGAAGTTTCACCATGAGAGACTATGCTGAGAGTCATTATGGTACATATGCCCTCCAAACTCAAGGCAAGCGACCTCGAAAATGTTATGTTTCATCCGCCAAGCACCATGTTTTCAGTGTGGGCGACAAAGAGTTTATACGTTATCTGCTAAGTATTTGATTTATGATGTGGGCGATGAAGAGCTTATACACCATCCGTTAAGCATCTAGTTTTCCCAGATACAAGAGTGACAAGTTAGAGAAAGGGTGGGAATCTTCAAAGCCACGCTTAAATGGGAAGCATATCCCATAGTGTTAGATTTGCACCGTTGATTCGATTGAGATCTAACAACTAGGATGAGAGACACCTCGATTCCTATGCCCGTGTCTATATAATATGGACCAACGGTGGGTCATTTCTCCTTTGTTCTTTGTGTTCTTCTACTCTATTAAGTGTTCTGCTTTCTTGGCACGCTTACTTTTCTGTCATCTTGCTGGTTACTAATCCACATTGCTCAATAAGGTAATCATAACTTATTCTTTCCTTTCTTTTTCTTCTAGGTCCGAGAAGTCGTCAGCGTGAATAGAGGGTGTGTCGGTGGCCTATTGGCTTCATAGGGATAGCATGGAGAATGCTTCTACTTACTCTTCAACTACGACAAACGATTATTCAGTTGTTGTCGAGAGTCGTGGTCTCCTGACAACATTGTAAAGGACACCGATGCCAAAAGGTTGTTGAAGAATTAACTGAATGTGCAGCGGGGCTTTGATATGTTTTCCATTTTCACGAACAAACTACAAAACTCCTCAATTCCTTTTTTGTATTCTTTACTAATACAACGTGCATTTATTTAACTCATGTCCATAACTATTAATGTTACACATTTTGTCACCTCCAAAGACTCAAACACATTCATATTTACAACAACAAAAATATACGAATAACAAAAAACTTAGCACTCAAATAAATAAATAATGGAAACATACCAATGCATTGTAATAAGTCGTACATCCATTCAAACGAATAAACAAATAACCACAAACAATAACACTTCAATTTTAAGAACAATGCAATTTAGACATTCATGTAGTATTGTGATTGAGATTCCTAAAAATAAACATGATTTCCATTTAAACATAAAACTAAAGACATAAAACATTAATCTCAAAGATATAAAAGACTCTTTAAGACTTGAATCTATTCGAAGAGAAACATCAACTATTACAAATGAGATACAATGTAGGTTTTGTCACTACTCACTATAATCGCAAAATACTCTTGGAAGTACTATAGTAGTTATTGTCATCATCATCGATTCAAAAACTCTCACACACATAAGAAAGAAAAAATCCTATATAAAATAAAACACGACTTTTACGTCCGACCTTGTTAAGATTGACGTAAAAGTCACTTTTTATGTCTCACGCATGACATAAAAAATGACTTTTACATCAACCCCAATAAAATATGATGTAAAATATATTTTTTAAGTTAATTATTTTATAATCCAATAAAAAAAGAAAAAACTCATTTTGCCAAATAAGAAAGAAAAACTTTATTTTAACAAATTTCATCCATGATTTAAACTTAAAATAAGTATTTGAAAAAAAAATGTTAAAAAGAATTATGTTTTCTTTTTAACAAAAATGTTTACTTTTCATGTACAATATGGACACTTATTTTGCTCCAACTATTAACCAAGTCATAAGTAATAAAAAGATATGGAAGTAAGGTTATGTTTGAGATTGAGTTTTACGAGTCATTTTAATAAAATTTTCCGTTTTTTTTATAACCTAAAAATTTCATATGACCGATAAAATCTTGATTTTCGTCATAAAAAATAATTTATCAATGTATATAAATATGATCTTTAACATAAAGTATTTATTAAATGATTTACAGTTGAATTAATTAAATTATTAGATTTATTTATTATTGACCGATCTAATAATTTATTATATCACGTTAAAATTATATAATTTTTAAAAAATTATTATAAAAAAATTGTTTTATAATTTATTAATATTTAATATTCTTCTATTCAAATGATTAATATAAAAACATCTCACATCACAGCCCTCACCAAGTCTACAGCAACTTTTGTATTTTACCCTAACGTGTCATCCTTGAATTTTTTTCTTTTTATATATATATATATATATATATATATATTATTTAAATATAATTTAGTATAATAATTTAATGTTTCAACTTTTCTTTCTTCAATATAATATATTCATATCCCCATAAAAGAACATAATTAAAACAAATTTGAATAAAATCAAATAAACTCAGCATTAAAACAAAATGAAGTTAATTTTAACTATTTACAAAACCTTTCATATGTCATCCATCAAATGAGACTTTCATTCTAAGTTAGATGGATTATAATTGTTTAATGCTATGTTTTTTTTTAATATAATTTTTTTCATATTTTCTCAAAACTAAAATTTAATCAAATCAAAACTAAATAAAATCAAAATCAACCAAATTTTAATTTTAAATAGTCTTTTTTATATGTCAGTCTAATATCAATCAATAATGATAATAAAATATTTATTTGATTAAAATCAAAATCACAATCAAATCAATATCAACAGAATTTTTTACTATGATAAAAACTTTCCTATATGGATAGTCTAATAGCAACCAATAATTATAATAAAGTATTTTTTTTATTCAAATCAACATTAAACTACGATCAAATTAAATCAAGTTTTCTTTATATATATAATCTAATGTCAATGAATAAGCATAATAAAATATATAAAAATTTGTGATAATAAATGTTTTTAAATTTATAACATTTAATAAATAGTGTTTTTCCAAAAAATTAAATAAAAAATCTACATTTTTGGAGAAAAAAGCTCCAGAAACTTTATTTTATGTTATATAATAAATAATTATCAACATCTAAAATTCTTTGCTTATTTTAAATCTCAGTTGAAAATAAAATAACATATCTTTAAATGTAAAAAGTATTGTTCAACCACTTATTTATTTTTCATTAATATTTTTTGTTCCGTCCTTTCATTTCAAGATAAAAGTACAAATCTGCGGTGGCACGTAATTCTACTTATTTGAACCATCCAACCAAAACACAGAGAAAATGAATTAGAAATGGAATTAGCATGTTCTAAATTGTTGAGATTAAGACAAATATACATTTTATTACATTTCTCTAAAGCATAAATTTATATAATAATTTTTTTTTCATTTTAATGTGCAAGACCGACATTTAAAAAAAATCTTCTAATTTTGTGATTCAATAAATCTAAATTTAATTTAATTAATTTAATTTAGGTTTAAATACATTTTTGTTTGAATATACTGTTGTTACAATAATAGCTGAAGATATAATTATGGTCTTCATAAAAATTTAATAACATATTTAATTCTCTACATTTTCAAAATAACATATCTAATTTTCCAGTTTTTAAAATTAAATAAATTTTAGTCTAACATTAATCTAAGTTTTTTTTATGATAATACATTTTAAAACTTAAACTAACACGTTATTAATGTCCTTTAGAAATTATATATAATGTATGAATAATAAGATTATATGTGGATGAAGAGTTAATTTATGTCTGCATTTTTACTCTCTAAGCTTTGTTTAATCGTAAGTTATTCATATGATAATTTATTTAATTTTGTAATATTTTCATAAAAAATATTTATGTTAACAACATTTAGATGACATAAGATTAATGTATATATTTTTTAAAAATTCTAAACTACTAGAAATATGGATGAAAAGGTTAAAAATTTAAATTAAAGTTATGAGATTTAACTCCACCCTACGGAATTCATTTGCTTGGATAATCATATCCAAGAAAACAAAACAAAATAATTGATGAAGTAATCTGGTAATTACAATGGAAACAAACAAGAGTCCAATTATTCCCACCTTCACTCTCTATCTTCTTCCACTGCTTCTTGCACAGGGAAAGCAAAACAACAAAAACAGTGTGAGAAAGGAAAATGGGAATTCAATATTCAATCCCGTGACCCCAAGGGTAAAAGGGTAACTTCAGAAGCAACACATAGTTGTCCATGGCAGCGGGAACTAACACACTTTCTCTCTCTTGATTCTGTGAGTAGTGGAACCTCAATTTGTGTTAGAAGGTGACTGGATAACATGACCATGCATTTCCACAAAAGACTTTTTGCTTTGGTCGTGAGTTCCCATAATGCCCCTCTCTTTTCCCTTGCAAGCGTCGGCAGTGTATTTTGTAGGCTTGTGAGGAACAAAGCTACAAATAAGGAACACCCAAAGGAGGGGAATTTGAAGGGCCCCTCCCACACTCTACCCTGTCAAAGGTGTCGAGCACATTTTTTTGTTTGTATTTTGTGTGTGTAACAAAGGATGGTGGTGCTTGTTGTGGTTGGTGGTGGGGTGCGCAGGATAAGCAGCAAAGTTGGGTGAAGGATAGGGAGAGAGAATCGAAGAACCCCATTTTAAAAAAAATAAATATTGAAAGAGGGAGAAAAAAAAGGATTGTTCTTTTTATTAACAAGGAACAAACAACCCATTGTAGTTTTAAGGCCATTTAATTGGTTCCTCTTGGTCTTGTGTGTGTGCTATAAATCCTTCATGGTTTTTGGTGACGCTTTGGGGTTCTGTAGTGAGTCTAACCCACTTTGAGAATTCTCATAAAATTGCATGCTTTTGGATTGGAAGGTTGTTGCAATGAGGAAGGTTGTGGTGTTGTTTATTTTCATGTTGTTGGTGGTGGTGCCTTCGGCTTTTGCTGATTCAAGTCAGAAGCTTGAGGTTCAGAAGCACTTGAAGAACTTGAATAGGCCTCCTGTTAGGTCCATCAAGGTATAGAGAGAGAAAGAGAGAGTTAGTTTCCTTTCTTAATTCTGCTATGACTTTTATTTCTCTTTCGCTTTTTCACACCGTTTATGATATCTCTTTCTTTTGCTCTTCCACTTTTCACTGATGGCTTAACTGTTTTTCTAATTGGTGTTTGCAACAATGGACCTTTTTGGGGTGAAAGGAACTTTAATCCTGGATGCTCATGTTGTCTCACTTGGGGGACTTTTTTTAGTTTCTTTCACTTGTTCTTGAATTTTGAGCAGAATCTTATGTGCTTTTTAGTGGTACTTTTTTTTCCCTTGATTTTGCTAGGAATTGTAGTGTAATTGATTTGGTTCATTTGATTTTGTGCCCATCCATGAGCATAGTTCTTTATTTGCAAGTTTCTAATTTGCATTTGTGCTGTTGTAAAAGCAGAGTCCTGATGGGGATATTATTGACTGCATCCATGTCTCTCACCAGCCAGCTTTGGATCACCCTGACCTCAAAAATCACAAGATTCAGGTGAAGAATTTTACTTTTCTTAACTAGTGCTTTTTCATTTTCATAATTCAAAATCCTTTATCTGGTTAGCTCCAATTTGTTTTTCTAATTTCTCTTTCCTTTGGTTCAAACAATCACGGGTTGGTGATGCAGATGAAACCAAATTTCCATCCAGAAGGGCACCCTTTTGGAGACAACAAAGTCTCTTCAAATTCCAAGCCTATAAATCAGCTGTGGCACCAAAATGGGAGGTGCCCTCAAGGTACAATTCCTATCAGAAGGACCTCAAAGAATGACATACTAAGGGCAAGCTCTATTCAACAATTTGGAAAGAAGAAGCAAAGGAGCTTTCCACAGCCTAAGCCTGCAAAACCTCTACCTGACCTCATCAGTCAGAGTGGCCACCAGGTACTACTGCCCTTACCATGCATGATACTCATAATGCAGTAACAGCTAGCTCAATTGGGAGCTGTGAGAATGTGTACAATTTCCCTACAACTATTTTCTGAAGAGGGAGCCTGTGAATATACATCCAAAAAAAGCTAGTTCAATTTACTTCTAATTACGAAGAAATTTATCCTCATTTCTCATTCATTTCATTTCTATGATCAATAAAAGGAAAAGTAAAAAATAAAAATGAAAAATTGTTTACTACCATATTAGGCCTTTACTACCATATTAGGCCTCTTTTCTATGCAAAAGAAAAAAAAAAAGAAAAAGCTGTAAACTACCCGATTAGATCTCTTTTTTATGCTAAAGGAAAAACTTGTACGGGATCAAAAGATAAAAGCTGTTTAATTATTTATTTATTTATTCACTTATTAATTTCTCCTGATTTTGTTTATTTTTCTTTACTCCTTTGATATTTTTGGAGCATTTAGCATGCCATAGTTTATGTGGAGGGAGATAAGTATTATGGAGCCAAGGCAACCATAAACGTTTGGGACCCAAAAATTCAACAACCCAATGAATTTAGCCTTTCCCAAATGTGGATTCTGGGTGGCTCTTTTGGTCAAGATCTCAACAGCATCGAAGCAGGTTGGCAGGTATTATTAAATTTTTTCTCCATTGTCATCTTCTGTCTGCAAATATTTTCAAATTCAGCATCCTCATAAAGATAAGATTTATCAACTTACTTATAATTTCCAATTTCTGTTTTTCTGTTCTGGTAATTAGGTCAGCCCTGATTTGTATGGAGACAACAACACTAGACTCTTCACTTATTGGACGGTGAGTTATCAATTCAAGCACCCAAATTTTGTCCTCTCCTCTAATTACTTTTCAATTTCTTATTCACATCATGCAATTGTTCCACTACCATGACAGAGTGATGCATATCAAGCTACTGGTTGTTATAATCTCCTTTGCTCTGGCTTTATTCAAATTAACAGTGATATAGCCCTGGGAGCAAGTATCTCCCCTCTTTCTAAGTATAGCTCTTCCCAATATGATATCAGCATCCTGGTCTGGAAGGTACATTTTTTTATATCCTTTTCCTTTTTATATATTATCTCTTGATATTGGACATTCTGGCATGAAAATATGCTCAACACTTGACAAACACTATCACAATGTACCATTAGTATATTAATACCATTGTTTTGTGCAGACCACACTAGTTAATTATAAATCAAAGAGAATCTCTGACATACATTTCATTATATCTGAAGGCTACATTGTTTTAGGGTCCATGAATTTATTAACATGGAACAATGCCATCTGATGTTGTCTATTATGGAAAATCAATGTGTATGTAGGACCCCAAAGAGGGTAACTGGTGGATGCAATTTGGAAATGACCATGTTATGGGATACTGGCCAGCTCCTCTATTCTCGTACCTCTCTGACAGTGCCTCAATGATTGAGTGGGGAGGAGAGGTTGTGAACTCCGAATCCGACGGCCAACACACCTCAACTCAAATGGGAAGTGGCCATTTCCCTGAGGAAGGTTTTGGCAAGGCTAGTTACTTCAAGAACATTCAAGTTGTTGATGGTGACAACAAGCTTAGAGCTCCAAAAGACCTTGGCACTTACACTGAGCAAGATAGCTGCTACAATGTCCGAACTGGCAGTGCTGGAGATTGGGGTAACTACTTCTATTATGGTGGTCCTGGTAGAAATGCAAATTGCCCTTGATCATTCATGAAGCAAAGAAAACTGAAAAAAAAAAAATGAAGGATGAGTAGGTGTTCTTTTTTGTGTAGTTTAGTTATTTTAGTAACTTGTGGTACCACTTAGAGTTGTGGTGTATAATGAAGCTCATGGTCCTTTAAAGTCTCCAAAAAATTGTTGGAGAAAAGGGTGGTGAGAGTTTCTTAGATTTACAAGAAACTAGTTTCTTCATTGGTTTTCCCTGTTTATATATATAAATATTTGTTGTTTTTGTTTGCTCCTCTCTCTGGAGCTATATGAAAGCTGAGGTGTGAATGTGAACAGAATATTCTATTATTGTATAAGGAGACTGTGTATTTTTTTATTTTACTACCATGTTTGATTAGTGGAAAGCTGTCTCAATAAGGACCTTTATTTATGTTTATGCTCTTGCTTGTGACCTAACCTAAGTGGGTGGCATTTTAATTGAAGAAAGTAACGGTGGAAACAAAAAATGAGATTCATGCACATGTGATTATACAGGTCAAGGCCAGTCTAATTTAGTCACCTCATTCACATCTTTGTGCACAATTTATGGCATTAAAGTCTATTTTTTTAAGTGCAATATATTTGTCATCACCAAACATATAGTTAATGTAATATACTTGGACAGTTTACCTTATAGAGAATACATATATCACAGAAAGTTTGTCTTTAATTTTTACTGTACAAAGAGAGAAAAGATGTTAACTTTACCTTATATTTTGAGAGATAATGTATTTATTCTTTTTACATTAACCATGTATCTAAATTAAGGTCACGAAAATAACATTATCCTGTTGTATAGAAGTGCTTAGAAAAAGAGAAAAGATGTGCAGAAACGCGTTATCTCCTTATTGTGATGGTGATACGATGGACCCATTTGAGATTGAATGGTAAGTTAGTGTGGCAAGCTAGCATTTTCTTTCATAAAAGCCACCCTTATGGTTGGTTATACACCCACCTCTCTCCTTTATCACTTACTCTTAATCATTCATATTTATATTTCTTTCACCCTTTAAGAAAGCAACATTATATACACATATATAAGTAGGGGAAAAGCTTTATCTACTATATATTTAAAGAGAGAGTATTCTATAATATAATATTATTAGTGTAAATTTTTTATATTGTCAATCAATTAAAATTATTTTAAATATAACCTAAAATAATTATTATTAAAATCAATAATTTTTTAGTTCTATGATAATCAATGATTGGATATATTTCAGTTAATTCTTATTTAAGAAATCAAGTCTTACAATTCCCTTGATTGAAAAATTTCTTTCAAGCATATTTAAAGAATTGTCCAAAAATTATAATTGAACTAAGTTGGTAGGTAACTGAATTGTATAAAAAATTGAATTTTTTTGAGAAAAAATTTAGTTTAATTTTAAAAATTGATTTTTTTTATAAATAGAATATCGTGTGTAGAATGATTGGCTAAAGAAGAAGCTTCAATACTTCCATGAATAACTCAGAGGTCATGTTTACGTGTATGTGTATAAATACTCATGAAACATATACTAAATATTATGTCTACTCCAATTTTGAAAAGCATGGGCTTTTAAGTTCAATCATTATGGCTTTTTATTGAATGCTTTAAAAATTAACACTCAACCCCATATGTTTGGTTAAGATAGGATAAAATGACATAATTAACAATATAATAGCTTTTGTTTAATTACGTGATTAGTGTTTTTTTATTATTTTTGTTGAAGTTCTTGTTTTTTTTTAATTATTATTATTGCGACTGGTTGTTAAAGTTCTTTTTAGCCCCCGTTAATTGTGTATCTGCTTTATATGAAGGAGAAAATCAAAAAAGATACTTTTCTTAAATTAGGTTTAATAGCTTTATAAAAAGATTCCATCTTTTTCTTTCTTTAAAAAAACAAATAATGATATTGCAATTTGAAAGAGAAAAGATGTGAAAGTTCTATCACATTGTTAGGAGAATGACTTGGTGTAATTAATACAATCATAATTACAAAATCAATCTCACCACATTGCTGACACAAGATTTCCAATCGAAGACCTTCTGGTGAGAGAACAAAACAAATTAACCTTGATCATATAATTAAAACAAATAGTCAAGATTATAATTAAATAAAATTATTTGGATAGTTTATGTGTAGTTAATAATTAAGCTTAATTCATATCTTATGTATTTTTAATAAGATGCTGCAGTCAAGGTTTTTTAACAGTTTATAAGATTTCATAATAAGTTATTGGAAGATGTTATTTTTTTTTAATATTAAATATAATCCTATTTATTTCCCACTCATAATCTTTTCATTTAAAAAAAATATTGTTTATTATGATAATATAATAATATCATTAGTATAAATTTTCATATTTAAAATATTGTCTGTTTTGAACTTTTTAAATGTTGAAAAAAAAATTATTATTAATATTAATTTTTAAATTAGTAAAAAAAAAAAGTATAGTGGAATGAAACTTTTGAATATAGATACTAATATGTTTATGAGGAAAGACTATACACGTACTAATAATATGTTTGTGAGTAAAGGCTGAAGGTCTACAAGTCCTAGAAAGAAGGTGTGAATTCATTAGTAAGTGAGATTACATGTCATTTCAAACCTATGTTGTGTGTTTTCTTTGGAAGAAACAGTGATATATTAATGGTGTTTGGGAAGAAGATTTGAAGTTGGAACACAATAATGTGTAATTTAAATGTTTTTAAAAGGTTGGTGCGAGTAACACTTAGGAGTCCATTTCTCATAATGACTCCAATAATGGCTTTCATGGTGAGTTAGGGTAAGTGCCTCATAGCAAAACCCTTTACCCAAAGTGTTAGTTTTGGAAGTCAAAGCACGTATTCATGCCACATGTGGTGTGCCATAGAGCTGTCCATCATCAACACAAACAATGAATGATTAGTTGTCTCATTCAACAAGTTTTTCAAACATATCCAAGTTAGGAACGCCATTTATGCTCCAAGGTTGAAGGCATAGCAAGGGTAAGGGTGTGTTTGTGATAAGACTTTATTTGTGTCTTTGTTTTCTCCAAAATTTTGATAAAGTTCATTTTGTGTTCTTCAATTAGTTTACATGAGATATCAATCTTAACATTATGCATAGTTAGAACTCAAAATATATATATAAAAAAACTATATTATTATTATTATTATTAAAATCTATTTTATAATAGATTTAATATAAATAACATAATATATTGTTAGACAATATATTATATATTAAGTCAAACACCCCTAATGACACTTTAGGTTTTACCTGCCTAACACGAATTTGAGTTTGAGTCAACCTCAGATAATGGGTTTGCAACAAACCAAACATAGTGACTAATGAAAGCCAAAAGTAATGTTATGGGTCGGAAAGAGGGATAACGGGATTTGAAATATTCTACTTAGAATAACCGGGGTTTGAAAATATCTATCAAACAATAAGAATTAAAAAATTATTTTTATTTCATTGTAATTTAATTATTAAGATAAATAAATGAAAAGTATTAATAAGAATTTTGAAAACTGGATCGAATTCACCTGTATAACCACAAATCAATCTAAAAATCGGTCAAATACTTTTTAAAAATAATATTTTAATAAAAATGGTATAAAATTGAAAAATAGATAAAAAAACCAATAAAATGGACCACGATTTTAGGTTATACCGATTTTAATAAAAAATAAAATTATCTAAAGATATTTTTGTATAATATTTTTAGTTTTTTGTTCTCTTTTATCTGGTATAAATCACCCTAATTTTAAATAATAAATATGTTAATATATTTTTGTCTTATTTCCACTATTATCTATTTTTTAGTGTATTTTATATATTATAATATTATTATATTTCTGATCCAAGTAAAATTTCTTAATAAATTCTTGTATCGAAAATAATTATTTCAATATATTCTCCCGTATTTAGGAGAAGTAGTGCAATATTGGTTCGACAATAGGTGATTTAGTTCATAATTATTAACAATTAATATCCCAATATCATTAGAGTTACTTCGATACCATATTAAAAATGGTGAGATACTTAACTCAATCCTAAAAAACCGAGTTTGATATGTACGAATTATAATCACTTATATATTATAATGTTATCATATCTCTAATCAATGTATTAGATTTCTCAATACACCTCCTTACATTGAGAATGATTTTTCATATAAGATGAGGGAGTATAATAAAAAATCTCTCCGTATGAAGAAGCGTGTGAAGAAACTTTACATCAATTAGAGATATGATAACATTATAATATATAGGTAAATATAATTTTTACCAAATTGATTTTACAGGATATATAATTAAATATCTTATCATTTCTAATATAATTAATTTTTTCATAAAATAATAATAATTTATTATATATTTATTATATTATTAAAAAATATTTTACATCTAGTACCTATCTGTCTTGTTAAATCTCTTTATATATATATATATATATATATATATATATATATATATAATTTTTATTCTTTATTACTTTGGAAAAGTTTAATCTTATATATTCATATTATAAAACATATTCTCTCAATTAATTAAACATCATCTCAACTTCAATATTTAAAATAATTATAACAAAAATGAATAATATACCATGTATATTTTTTCTCAATTCAATGGGTGAAGAACTAATATTGTCCACGGTACTGACCCATGATAATCTGTCATTAATAATACTCTAAACTAATGCGTTTTATTTATTTATTTATGTATTTTATCATTCACATATTTATTTATTAATTTACTTTGATCATATAGTTACGGATTATTTGTTATTCTAAGTAAAACTTTGCATCACTCTGTTTTTATCGACCATTGTTATTATAAAATGTTTGGAACCTTCTAAATGAGAATTTACACGTTTCATTGAACAAAACGTAGAAGTAAATGAATAATAGTGGTTAACGTGAATTTAGATTTATTAGAATGGCCTCCAAAACACACACTCTTACATTTTATTCATAACACTTAGTTTGAATACTATTATTGGCATCCATATAATCCTAACATTGTCCTTCACATAGATAGCAAAACAACATTTGTGAACTTTAAATAAAAAGTTGGCGCAGGTGGCTCTACAATCAAGGTAGATTGGAAACAACATTCAGGCAACATATTAAAAACAAAAAGATGCACCCAGTGAAGAAATCCACGTAGGTAGATTCCTGTTTATTACAGAATATATGTTAAGTTCCCATACATGTGTAGCAGAAAAATGTTCAGCATGCTTGCAACACCCTTCCGATTCCAAGTTTCAACCAAGCCTGCCAAAATTTAAGCTGAGAGTTAGTGAAAACAATAAAAAATTTACCAATGGATAAAGACAAGAACAGTATGTGTAGAAAATAAACCCTAGCTCACAAATTGTCTAATATTTTGAAAAGAATATTGTGTGAAAAGAGTGTTTTCTGAACATATATGTGTAGGCTAAATGAACGTTACTTGGAACAATCTGCATTGGGAGAGATAGCCACAGGAAGAGTTATTCCACAGTTCCCTGGAAGAGCCTGAGCCAATTGTGAGTTTATGCTGATACCCTTGGAAGTGGATTTGATGCACTCACAAGCAGCTTTCTTATTCTCTGAGCTTGATGCAGCGGAGGCAAGAGCCTTGGCTCCTGAGCAACATGCAGCTGGTGGCTGTCCACTGCCACTCATCAAGTAGTTCAAACATGGCCTCAAGTCCTTGATCACATCACTGCATGAAATTGCAGCCTCTGAAGTTGAGGCAAGAAGGATCAGAAGCACAAGGGCAGCAAATGCTCCTGGGAATTTCATGCTTGCTGATGAAAACAGATGATAATGATGTTGATGATATTGGTATGAATTTTCACTGGTTCCTTTTCACCTTTTTATGAGTTTCAAAGGGAAGCTAAAATCAGCAAGTAAGGATGACTAATGGAGTGAATGAGTGCAAGAAACAAGAAACTTGTCAGTTTGATATTTCCCTCTTTGTATTTCTCAAATTCTAGGTTAGGTGGAAGTGGTGAAGGAGGGGTTATTCATTTCAACAAGTAAAATAACCATGTGAAAGTTCATTGGAGCAAAGTTTTATTTTCTTTTATGATTTCCATTCATGCAAGAATTTGATCACTTAACCTGCTTAGAAAAACCATTAATTGTGATGGAAGTAAACCTTGTCACTCGTACAACTTTGTTGCTAACAGTGACAGCTTCTCTAGTCATGAACAAAATCATGTGCAAGTCATCACTACCTGGCTCTGAATCTGTTTCAATTGGTTGCAGCAATAGGCCCCTCAATTGGATATCTCAACCATAAATTATATAATATATTGGCAAATTTTGGATCATGTAAATATATGATACATAATTTAAACGTACTAGAGTCATTATTTATTACGTCAAATAATAAAGTGATCTGATTAAATTAAAATTTTGACTAAAGATATATGTCATAAAAATAAAATTGTGTAGAAACTATAGAGTAATTTCTAATTTGATGAGAGACCAAATTAGAAGTACAAAAACTTAAGTAATTAACCTAATTCTGGTTATTTAAAGGGTTATGGTCCCCTTCTGGGAGCACACACAGAACGTAAGTCTCAGTCCCGTTCCTTTCTTTCTATCCCTATCAAGAGAGAAAATTCAGAGGGAAATACAGGTGCTCTTCAGGTAGAAGACCATAAGATTAATAATGCTCTATAAGGATATCATTATGGCTAATTCAAGTATGCTTTCGCATTCAGTTTACAACATGCTTATAAGTATGAGATAATGTTTATTTTTGATAGTTAGAATAAAAAACAGGATTATAATTATTATTAGTTTTCCAACAAGTGGTATCAGAGCTACCCATACTTGATTAATGTCTATTTAATTTATAGAACCCTAATTATGAAAATTAGGATTAACTTTGTTTTAAACAATTCAAATTACCCAATTTTATGAACCCTAAGTGGAGAATAATATCCAATTTTCGTGAACCCTAAAATTTAAATTTAGGGGTAACATCCCTAATCTGCTTCTGCTTGCTGATGGAACCGTGGAGGAAGCTATAAATTCTTCTTCTTCTTCATTTTTCCCTTTTGTTTTGGTTTAAATTTCAATTTTTACTAAGAAAGGAATAGTGTTTCAAATTTCAATCTTTCTTGTATTGGATTCTATGATCTCTTTGAATCTTTTGTTTCTGTTTTTATTTATTTTTTCTAGGTTTTGTTTTCGTTTTCTTTTCATGGTGGATATGGATGGGTTTGGAATTTGGGTGATGTTTGGGGAGTTTCCAACACAGAGGATCTTAGGCAACTGATGAATGTTTCCACAGGTGTGACTGTTCTTATTTTATTGTCTTTATCCTCTAGGGATTTTAAGCAAAGTTGATGTTAAATTCCCTGTGTAGGGTTTGAGTTATTATTGTTTAATCCTTTTTAGGGTTTAGAGCAGTGTGTTAAAGAGGGTCAGAACTATCTCTGTTTCATTCCTAGTGTGATTCTAGAGAGGTGTTTATCCTTTGTATGTTAGTTGCAAAGAAGGTGTTTTTCATCCTTTGATTTGTTCAAAGGAGGTGTTCATCCCTAGTAGGATTCTAGGGAGGTGTTCATCCTTTGTGTGTTGGTGGAAAAGGAGGTGTTTTTCATCCTTTGATTTGTTCAAAGGAGGTGTTCATCCCTAGTGAGATTCTAGGGAGGTGTTCATCCTTAGTAGGATTCTAATGATGTAATTGTCTTTTGAATTAGTTTGCAAATATTAAATATTTGATTTTGTTATATAAATAAAAGATTCAATTTTTTGGTAGTTTAATATTTTTGTGAGCAAATTGAGTCAAGAAGTTACCAAAGTAACCTCTCTTGAATTGGGCAGTTCATGAAAAATATTGAATGTTAGTGTTTGTGTATATTCATGCGAGTATTAGTCGGCCCAAAGGAAGATTAATATTTGGCCGAATTACATACACACTTGTAATGATAAACATGTGATAATTATAAAGATTTGTTTTGTCGATGATAAATCAATCCAAAGACTGGTTTGTTGTTGGATGTGCTTTATTGTCAATGTTTGACCATTACAACAAGATACCCCTAGCAGTTAATGTTATTGTCCAAAGACTTGATATTGATGGTGCATTGGGTGTCTTGAGATGGGTTAAACCATTATTTGAATATTTATAATTATTTATTTTTATAATGTGAGAATAATTAGTTTGTTTCTTTTGTTCTTAATTTAGCTACAATTGTTTCTGTATCTGTCAATTTAAATTTTGTTCTGATCCTCAAAAGTATGTTTCCTACTTTGGTATGTTCTAAAGTCAATTTAACGTCAGTACCTAGTAACACTTGGTGGTTAGACTCAGGTGCAACTACTAACATCAGTGTTTCTATGAAGGGTTGTCTAAGCTACCAGAAACTAATTGATTCTGAAAGATGGATATATGTTAGAGATGACAAATCGGTAAGGGTGGAAGCTATAGGGCATTTTAAATTGTTATTGAGTACTATTTTTATTTGGATTTGAAAGATACTTTTGTTGTGCCATCATTTAAACGAAATTTGGTTTCAGTTTCTTATTTGAACAAATTAGGTTATTTGTGTTCATTTGGAAACAATAAGTTCAGTTTGTCTTTAAATTCAAATATTGTTGGAACTGGTTCACTTTTGGCTTATGATAATCTGTATTTACTTGATATTGTGGCCACCTATAATGAACCCTTAATACAGAATCACGGGGTACTAAACGTAAAATTGACAATACTCACTTAGGTGCATTATGACACAGGCACTCAGGTCACAATCTAATCGTGGCTCTTAGGCTTGTGTTACACTCTTAAAGATATGGTAAAGAGTATGATTTGTCATTCCACCTTACCGGAATCACTCTGGGGAAAGGCATTAAAGACGATAACTTATATTCTAAATAGAGTACCAACTAAAGCAGCTAGCAAAATACCTAATGAGCTTTGGGTTGGGCGACAACCTAGTCTAAAACATTTCCATGTGTGGGGTTGTCCAGTTGAGACAAGGCCTTATAAGTCAAATGAAAACAAATTGGACTCCCGAACAGTAAGTATTTATTTTATTGGTTATGCTGAAAGATTCAGGGGATATAAATTTTATGATCCCACATTAAAGACAAATTTTTAGACTGGAACTGCTATGTTCTTTGAGGATATTGAGTTTGGGAAAAGAATAAAATTAGGAACTTTGTCTTAGAGGAAGAATCGGTAACAATTCCAGAACCAATTCAAACAGTTACTTTTGATAAAGTAAGTTCGGAACCTCCACAAGGCATTGTTGATGAACCCCTTGCTCAAGATGATTTGGTTGTTTTAGGGATGGCAAAACGGGCCAGCCCGCCCCATTTTGGTCCGCCCCGCCTTTGGCCCGCCAAAAGCGGGGCAGGACGGGCTGACCCGATATAGTCATGACGGGTTGTAGACCTTGGCCCGCCCCGCCAGGGGTGGGTTGGCGGGCTGGCCCGCCATAATTTAGAAAAAAATATTTTTTTTAAATAATTTTTTTAATAAATTTAATAATAAGATTATTATTTGTTTGTCAATAATTCAATATATATATATATATATATATATATTATTTCAATTTAATAATATAAATCAATACATTATTTTAAAAAATTATAATTTAGAACAATAATAAAATTTACATAATAATAAATAATAACAAATATATATATATATATATATATATATATATATAAATAACGTTAAACTTATAAAATTTATATTTTTTATATTGTAAAATTCAAATACCTATATCTTTTTTATTTGATAAAACTTCATATTATTCTTGGTTGAGTAATTCTTATATCTTTAATTCAAGTAATAAGGATAAATATAATCGAGTGTTTAGGATAAATAAGGAGAACATGAGAGAAGGTTATATTTCGGGAAGGAGAATATTTTCTCGTCAGAATGAAACTTTTTTAATTCTCTTTTTAAATTTTTTAAATTTATATATTATCTTTATAATTAATTTTATTACAATAAAAAATTATTTTTTTATTAATTAGGCGGGCCGCGGGCTGGCCCGCCCGTCCCGCGGGTTGGCCCGACGGATTGGCGGGCTTGGCGGGGCGGGCCAAAGCGGGCTGGTGGGCTGAAAATACCAGCCCGCCGGGCCTAGCCCGTTTTGCCATCCCTAGGTTGTTTATAAAGAACAAACTCAAAATCCTCAAGAACCTGTGCATCATGAGCCAATAACTTTGTGGAGATCCACTAGAGAAAGAATAAGTGGTATTTCGGATCACATGGTATTTCTTCAGGAACATGAGGAAAATAATTATATGATGAAAGATAACCCAGTTAACTTCCATCAAGCTATGCAAGGTTCTAATTTTGAAAAGTGGATTGAAGCAATGAAGAAGGAGTATAAGTCCATGCAAGACAACAAGGTTTAGGGAACTTTTCCCATTACCAGAAGGTATGAAACCCATTGGTTGCAAGTGAATATTTAAGACCAAACGAGATTCTAAAGGTAATGTGGAAGGCTCGTCTGGTAGCTAAGGGCTATACCCAAAAGGAAGGGATTGACTTTAAAGAGATTTTTCTCTCCAGTTTCATCGAAAGACTCTTTTACGACAATTACGGCTCTTGTAGCACATTATGATTTGGAGCTTCATCAAATGGATTTCAAGACGGCGTTTCTCAATGGCAACATTGATGAGACAATTTATATGGTACAACTAGAAAATTTTGTGCAGAGAGATCCAAAGAATATGGTTTGCAAACTGACAAAATTCATTTATAGACTAAAATAACCATCTCGTCAATGGTACTACAAATTTCATAAGTAATTCTCTCATTTGGC